TTTTTGTTAGACCAAGTCTCACTCTGTCACCCAGGTTGGAATGCAGTGGCGCGGTCTTGGCTCACTGCAACCTCTGCCTCCCAGGCTCAAGTGATTCTCCTGCCTCAGCCTCCCAAGTAGCTGGGACTACAGGCATATGTAACCATGCCCGGCTAATTTTAGTATTTTTAGTAGAGACGGAGTTTCTCCGTGTTGGCCAGGATGGTCTCGAACTTCTGAGCTCAGGCAATCTGCCTTCCTCGGCCTCCCAAAGTGCTAGGATTAAGACATGAGCCACTGCGCCCAGCAACTTGATTTCTTATGTGTCAGGGAACATTTATCTCAGTCAATCTGTTTAAGACTTACAAACTGATGGTCTTCCATATCATTATCTCCTACATGTATTCAGAGTCAGGGAAAAGTCCTCTCAGTTTAATCCTGTCTTCTATACCATGGATAACCTGTATATGAAGTGGCAGGAGTGAAGGGAAGGTGGAGGATCTTGGTGTGCCAGGAGGGATGAGCAGAAAGTCCTGAGAGCAAGAGATACATGTTCAGAAACACAGCAAAAGTGGAGCCACTCCATTTCTCCACATTCCACCCAGAGGCACTGCAAGGGTACACGACAGGAAAGGGAATTCTATCACGCTAAGCTTTGTTGAGAATATGGCTGAGGGTGACCTTGAACCATATGGGAGAGGGACAGATAAGAAAAGCTTGTGCTGAGGACTAGTCCTTCCAATAGTGAAGTCTTGTGTAAAATGCCTCCTGCCCTAGGCTATGGACTAAGTACCTGTGACAGAGTAAAATGGTGGGCCAGGGTCTCAAGAATCACAGGGGTTTTCTACACTTTCAGCCAAGTCAAGACCTAAGGCAGCTGCCTGCTTGCCTGTAATTTGATTATACCTCGGCCCTTCGCTGTAAGCAATAAAAATCAGCATACAGGTCAAGAATCATAACTAAGTGCAGGAAAGAAAATAAACATGCCTCCGGCAAAAGGAACCATTATTTCCCTAGAAATGTTTGTAAAATAGAATACCTGGGAGTCATCTGAAAAAGAGGATAGAAAGTGTCTATCGGAAACAACTGCAAACATCCAGAGAAAGATGCAGCCTCTTGGAGATTGTCCAAAGGAGAACAATACACAATGATCACAGCACTGAAAGAGGAAGTATGTGGAAAGAAGTTAAGCACAGCTCGTGGAAGAAAGCTCCCACTCAGCTCTCCCTGCCCAGGAAGAAAGCTCCTGCCAAAATCTCCCTTTCCAGAGAGGTTTACTCAGGGTGCTCTGCATGGAGGTCGAGAGCTGAATCAAGATGGTGACGAGGCATTTACAATAAACTTACCTGGGTTTTGTTAAAAATAAACTAAAAATTACGTTCGTTCTCTCAGATGCTGTGGGAAAAAACCCAGGTTTCTGAAACCAGAAATCACTTTTTTGGAGATGAACAAAATAAAAATATTATTTCTAAAAATAAATTTCTTTATTTATAAAATAAAAATTTCAGGCCAGGCATGGTGGGGTCGCGCCTGTAATCCCAGCACTTTGAGAGGCCAAGGCAGGCGGATTACTTGAGGTCAGGAGTTCGAGACCAGCCTGACCAACATGGCAAAACCCCATCTCTACTAAAAATACAAAAATTAGCCGAGAAAGCTGGCAGGAGTCTGTAATCCCAGCTACTCAGGAGGCTGAGGCAGGAGAATCACCTGAACCCAGGAAGTGGAGGTTGCAATGAGCCAAGACCACGCCATTGCACTCCAGCCTGGGAAACAGAGCAAGACTCCATCTCAAATAATAACAATAATAATAATAATAATAAAAGTATTTCTAAAAATAAAGAAATTGAAAGCGTGTGTTTCAAGGCACGTTTTCCATGTGAAACTGTAGTCTGTAGGTGAGTTGGCATTTCTAGACAGAGCCAAGGCCTACCATTTAGAAGGAACACCCTGAGATCCACAGTAATAATGGCCATTGCATCTTACAGTTAATATCCTCACCTTGGCCGGGCGCGGTGGCTCAAGCCTGTAATCCCAGCACTTTGGGAGGCCGAGACGGGCGGATCACGAGGTCAGGAGATCGAGACCATCCTG